CACTTTCTTATCCTTGACTGAATGCTACCATGAGATTGAAAGGTGTTCCTATTACTGTAATGTTATTACATGCTCTTTCTCTGACGCGGTAATGTTTGAGAATCCCTCATGGAATGTCACAGATAATTGCAGTTCACTTGTGTTTTAACAAAGTAGAGATGTTTAAAAATACTTCTGTGTCTATTAATTAATAATTTTAAGTATTTCTTATCCTTGACTGAATGCTACCATGAGATTGAAAGGTGTTCCTATTACTGTAATGTTATTACATGCTCTTTCTCTGACGCGGTAATGTTTGAGAATCCCTCATGGAATGTCACAGATAATTGCAGTTCACTTGTGTTTTAACAAAGTAGAGATGTTTAAAAATACTTCTGTGTCTATTAATTAATAATTTTAAGTACTTCCTTTTATAGTTCAACCCTTATTTCGAGCTCTTATTTCTTTATATTCGTGACTTAGAGGATCAATTAAATTTCATAGATGTTGCATAAAGTGCTTAATCTTTGAAGATACTCTCATTGTAGACCCTTTCTTTTGATTACTAAATAACCATCAAAATAATGTTTCTAGTTGCCTACAGAATTAAAATTCTTAACTGATAAAAAGATTGATCTTCCCCTATATTTTAAGAAATGGTGAATATATTTCCTTTGTTTCAAAAATGCCTTTGGAAATCATTTACATTGGCCTTCAAAAATATTGTGTTGGTTGATTTATATCTAGTGAGGTTTTCAAGTGCTATACAGCTCTCTGTGTTACACTGTCACACAGTTTCATTTAATGTGTTGGTAATGTAATTGATTTTTGAAGTTTGTGTATAGTGCAGTAAGTATTTCCAAAGGCAACAGAGTTGGATAATATCAGAAAGTATATGAATTTGGATTAATATTCAGAAAATATGAGGGTGTATTAAAATAAAATTCTGTGTTATTACTGTTTGTTGAACTTTTTTTTTTCATATTCAACTTCTTTACCTTAACTTATTTACTTGCAGAAATCATGGTAGTTTGGTTTGCAGCTAGTTTAGGAATCCTGGAGTTTTCCTCCCCATCAAAACAAAATAACCACCCAACAAAATGTATGCTGTCACAAACAATAGCAAAGACAGGAAATATGCATCATACAAAGACCAAAAGGTGCTCCTTTAGGAAGCTTCTTCCCCAATTTCTGCAGACTATGTAGTCTTCTCACGCTCTACTGAACAATAACTGCTCAAATATATTTATTCTGTCAGCTGGGATTGGGCCTCACGTTACTCCCAGAACTCCTCTGTTAAGAGTACTGGCATGCTATGCAGATATTTGTTAAAGCAGGCAACTCTTAGGTGCAAAAGATATCAAGAATTTCTCTTTGGTCAGTGCAAAAGGACAAGATCTAGGAGAAGTGCAAGTGTTTCTTTTAATGTATTTAAATGGGTTGTCATTAATTTGGGGAAACAAACTGGTATTTTTTGCCTTTTAGGAGGAGTGACTTCAGGTTTAGAAGACATTACTTTTATGATGTATTCCTACCCCAACTTCTCTTGAGGCTACGTCTAGACTGGCCTGATTTTCTGGAAATGCTTTTAACGGAAAAGTTTTCCATTAAAAGCATTTGCGGAAAAGAGCGTCTAGATTGGCACGGACGCTTTTCTGCAAAAGCACTTTTGGCGGAAAAGTGTCCGTGCCAATCTAGATGCGCTTTTGCGCAAAACAAATCTGATCTGTCCACACTGGCCCTTTTGCGCAAAAGCTTTGCGCAAAAGGACTTTTGCCCAAACGGGAGCAGCAAGAAGCACTGATTTCAGACAGTAGGAAGTCAGTGTTCTTGCGGAAATTCAAGCAGCCAGTGTAGACAACTGGCAAGTTTTTCTGCAAAAGCAGCTGCTTTTGGGAAAAACTTGCTAGTCTAGACACAGCCTTGAGAGTATTAAAGGCTAGCCTTTCATACCTTATCTCTTCATAGACCTAGCAGACCCTTATTCTGATGGGTCAATGGCTCCCTTCCCAAGGTGTGTGTTGAAGAGTGGGGAGAAGACAGGAATGAGACTAGGTTAGGTCATGGAGGTTAGGTCCATAAAAGGTTATTAGCCAGGGGATAGAAATGGTGTCCCTAGCCTCTGTTTGTCAGAGGCTGGAGAAGGATGGCAGGAGATAAATCACTTGATCATTGTCTTCAGTCCACCCTCTCTGGGGCACCTGGTGCGGCTACTGTTGGCAGACAGGCTTCTGGGCTAGATGGACCTTTGGTCTGACCGAGTACGGCCGTTCTTATGTTCTTATGAGACAAGGGTGAAGTCTAAGGCAAAACAGAAAAAATAAAAAAATATTGCTAGCTTTCTTGCATCTCTCAAGTTCCTCTTCAATAAGGAGGGAGAATTGTCTGAGTTAGATTTGAGAGAAAAAACAGAATCAGAGCTTTAGGAAATGTATTTTCCACTTTGATAGGAAGTAAAGGGCAGTAATCACAAGGTAGGTCAATACAACTATAAAAAGGAGAAGGAAAGAGAAGTATGTACCACCAAATGTTAATAGTAAGCTGCTGTATACTGTAGGGATGTCAATGAGTAGTCAACTACATGATTCTCCCCTCCGCCCCCCAGCCGTGGATTGGGACTACTGCCAGACTAGCCTGTGTCCGCAGCCAGCCACATGAACAGGGGCTGCTGCCACCCCACACTGCTCCCACCCCGCACTGCTGCCTTGGTCTGTGTGCGGAGCTGGTTTTTAAACTGGCTCCCCTTGTGGACCAGCTCCTGCCTGCCATCCCATACTGCTGCCTCTGATACAGAGGCAGCAGTGCAGGATGGCAGGGAGCTCCCTGGAAGTGGGACTGGGAGCGCACTGGCTGTGGTCCTGACACTCTGGAATGTCGGATAGCCGTGTAACTGCAAAGATATCATGTGGTTACATGACTATTCAATTACCCAATATCTAACATCCCTAGTATATTGCACACATAATTTGAAGACGTAAGCTCCATGCCAGAGGTGACTGATAAAATTTAAGAAGCTATATAAACCATTTTTTTTTTAGTTCTGTAAGATTAATGACTCCCAGCACGTTCATGGCTCAAATATCTAATGTGGATATGGTTGTGGCATCCCATCCAAGGACATTGTAGTTCCCTTGGGGTGTTGTCTTTTGGAAAATACAGGATC